AAGGCTGAGTCAACCTTTGAGCCGGTGAGATTAGAACCGCTGAACTGCAGATAACAGTCAGCTGAAGTGGCCTGCAGTACTGCACCCTAACCACTGCGCCACCTCGGCTCTAACATATTAATGAGATTGAAAATAAAAGCAATGAACCCAAATGTAATCAGGAGCTGATTCTAGAGACGGGCAGCCCTACAAAATGGATTGATTGATTGATTGATTGATTCATGGAACGGAAGGAAGAATGAATGAACTCCTAACGAAGAGGAATGAAATCATGAGCCGTATTTTACATAATGATGCCATGACGTGACTCGCTCATTGGTTATCACTTGTCATGATACAAAATCTAAGGTGCGTCTTTCACTCTATAACACACCCCAGGTCAACATTTTGATGAACTTGAAGCTTATTATGGCTGCCATGGGCAACCCTCAGCCCCCCACCCACCCCACACTGTTTCTTCCCCAGTAATTTCCACTATGTTTTAGACTCTCCTAACTGAATTCCTTGAAAAATATGGGGGGAAACACATTTTTTTGCCAACCGTACAGGTGCAGCCCAGAAGGGAGAGAGCGCCCAAGAATGAATACCTGAGCCTGGCTTTGCTTTTGGCTACGGTGGTGATGCAGTACCGATGCACAGTGTAGAAGTAATCCTGGTAAGGGATGCCCTGAGTGACCACCTCGGAGTCCACCACGCAGCCTCCATTCTTGGAACTGGCACGGAAAAGAGTCTAGCATCCAGCGGGCAAGGAGGAAGAGAAAGGCACAATAAGTAGATATTCAGTTTTTGGTACCCGTCCTTGCAAAAATGCTGTGCTTTACCCCATGGCCCATCCGTTTATTCATATAATAGTCTCAAGCAAATAGTGGCTTAAAAATTAATTACAGGGTAGTCCTCGGCCTACAACCACAATCATCATCCTCTTTTAACCACCCCATAATCCCTTGCTGGGTGGAGTCTGGGCAACTGAATGGAGCTAGCAGTTTTAATGGCCAGATTCCCTTCCTGTTGCCATAGCGGAGATTTGTTCAGCAGATATATTCTCAGTGTGCCCAGAGAGAAAAATATCTACCTCTACCTAGGATCGAACTCACAACCTCCTGATTGTGAGGCAAGAGCTCCATTTCTAGGCCACCGCACCACTAGACTTACAACTACAACGGAGCCCAATATTCCTGTTGCTAAGTGAAACATTTGTTAAGTGAATGTTGGCCCAGTTGTTAAGTGAATCACCAAAGTCGTTAAGTTAGCAACACGTTTTTTAAGTTGAATCTGGTTTGCCCATTGACTTGGCTTGTCTGAAGGTCGCAAAAGGGGATCCCATCACCCCGGGACACTGCAACCGTCATAAATATGAGTCGGTTGCCAACTGTCTGAATTCTGATCATGTGACCGTGGGGAGGCGGCAACAGTCGCAAGTGTGAAAAATGGCCATAAGTCACTTTTTTCAGTGCCGTTATAACTTCGAACTGTCACTAAACTAACTGTTTGAAGGCGAGGACTACCTGTCCTGGGAACAGCAGATCACAACACCGTGACCTTGCTTTGTCCACACCTCTTAATACAGGTAGTCCTCAAGTTGCAACAGTTCATTTAGCGACCGTTCAAAGTTAAACGGCAGTGAAAATTGTGCACTTACGACCCCTTTTCACACTTACAACCCTGATCACATGATTAAAATTCAGGGCGCTTGGCCATGAGTTCATATTTATGACCATTGCTGTGTGCCAAGGTCACCTAATCCACTTTTGCGACCTGATGAGCAAAGCCAATGGGGAAGCCAGATTCACTTAACAACCGGGTTGTTCACTTACCAATGGCAGTGATTCATTTAACGACTGTGGCAAGAAAAGTTGTAAAACGGAGCAAAGCTCACTTAAATCAATGTCTCACTTAACGACGGAAATGGGCTGCATTGCGGTCGTAACTCGAGGACTTTCTGCATTTTTTAGGAACCCACCTGAGTCTCCACCACAGGTGCAGCCTTGGGACCCAAAGGGTTACTGATGGGGATGGTGTAGGTGATGACACGGCTTTGATGACACTTGCTGTCTCCACTCCATGAACTCAGCGTAACATCTAGGAAGCGGGAGAAGGAAAAGTTGGGGACAGGGTAGGAAAACCGAGTGATCATTAAAGTAACAGGCTATTATTACTTGTTTTAAAAGGATAGCACTAAAGTCTTAGTTGATGAAACACAGATGATCATTTCGTGAACTCTGGATTCGGCAAACACAGGTCCACACTCTTTTTAATGGACGTTAGTTCGCGGAGTCAAGGTTTTATACCGCAACCCACACAACTTACATCAAGCGTGTAATTATGCAAATGACAAAAGCAGGCACAGATTTGGATTTAATGCGGACACCCGTTATCTCTGAAGGTCACAAGGCTTTAGTATAAATGGCTTCCAGCCCCCAAAATTACAAAAAGGCAGATTAAAAAACAGGCAGGACTCAAGGTTTCAAAGGGTTGCTACCTGTTCTGTCTGCCTAAGATACAGCCAGTTTAAGTCAACCTGGGGTCTTTGGCTCTGCCGGGGAACTACGATCCATTCTCACAACCATTAACTTTGGACTGAAAAGGAAAAGGATCATGGGACTGAATGGATGAATTCAACCAGGGGCGTTCTGTGGCTCACGGGAGGAGGGGGGTTGCAGTTGTTGGAGCCCCCTAGGATTTGGGGAGGGGGGGTGTTAGGCCTAGGGATTTGGCTTCCTGCGAGGGAAGGCTCTGAGGGAAAATGGCTGCCCTGTTTGTATCTTAAGGGAAAGATAAAGGTTCCCCTCGCATATATGTGCTAGTCATTCCCGACTCTAGGGGGCGGCGCTCATCTATATTTCAAAGCCGAAGAAGAGCCAGCGCTATCCGAAGACGTCTCCGTGGTCATGTGGCCGGCATGACTAAACTCCGAAAGTGTGAAATTAACACTTAGGGATTAACCCTTTAGGTGTGAAATTACCAGGAGACAGCTGAACAATAATAATAGAGCTTTATTATTGAGCTTTTGCAAAAGGGATCTCCATACTCAAATGGCGGAGCCAAGGAGGACATCTTCCATAGAAATACATGATAGTTATGTCGGTTCACCGACAAAAGGGCGAACGACAAAACCGCGCCCGACTAAACCGCGGTGACAAAACCGTGTGTTCTAAAGCGCTCCGACGAATGAGCACTGAATCGCGCTGACAACAGCGCGGTAACAGAAGCGCGCTGTAAAACTAAACCTAACACTAAACCTAACCCTAAACGTGACGCTAACCCTAACCCTAAACGTAACACTAACCCTAACCCTAACCCTAAACATAACCCTAAACATAACCCTTACCTTAAGTTAAATCGGCTTTCTGTCGACGCGCTGTTGTCACTGTGCTGTTGTCGGCGCGTTGATGACGTCGTGGTTTTAGCGACGCGGTTTAGTCAGGCGCGGATTTGTCGTTCGCCCTTTTGTCGGGTCACGAGTTATGTATATACATTTTCAGAAGCTTGGCCTTGTTACTACCCACTCATCCTATTGGCTAAATTCTGGTTAGGTAAGGGTCCTCTCCTCGTAACTTCCATCCCATCTGATCCCCCATTTCCAGTATCTCCATCCCTTTTGGCATATTCTCCGTCCTGTTTAGCAGCTCCTACTACTATAGTCAGCATTATTACTTTTAGCATGGCAACTAGACAGCCTGGCCTGCCAGCTATCTTCTGTGACCTCCCAACTATCTTTAACCAATCTTGTTATCGTAACTACAGATAACATTCTTACATAATGTCTCACTTAATATTCTAGTAAACTGTCTTAGGTTACTTGGAGGCTAAATACGGCGTTACCATTGCTCTATCTTTTAAAGGAATAATTCCTACTTCCCAAAATACCCGCTTTTCTGTTTTACCCTTATAAAGGTTAGCAAAACAAAAGGAAGTCCAGTGGCCTTTTGAAAAAGCACCTTGAAAAAGGACGTTTAGTTGAAGACTTTCTAACAGATTATGGATTAGGCTTTTTACTATGACCCGGCAAGAAGGAAGGTCCTGTTTCTAGCAATCAGGGAAGTTTGTACCTGGCTGTTTATGCAACAGCTACCCTAATATTTATCCAATACATCAGCTGGAAACCAGGTTATGGAGGTTTAAGGTTAATCCATCAAATGAGACAGAAAACAACAGCGGTCCTTTGCTTTTGCAATGCAAACCCTGGCCTGAACTTTTGCTCCCAAAGAGCCACCGAGGATGTGATTTGAACCGGTTTCCTCCCCTACCTGTGAATTTGCGTTGGTCCAGAAAGCTGTGTATGAACTGGGAGTCGCTGAAGAGCATCTGCTGCAGCCTCTCAGCTCCAACGTGATACACGGCGTTGATCAGGAGCCGCCCTGGCAAGTCTGTGAAGAAGGCTTCCACCTCAGCTGGAGAAGGAAGAACGAGAGAAGGTCGGGTGAGATCTCCCAATCTGAAATCTGGGACAATTCAGGCAGGACGGAGGCGGCCCTCACCTTCGTCTTGCGTGGAAGAGGAGGAATTGCTCATGTCGGTGGGGAGCTCTTCGCTGGGAGGCAGGTCCCCCTCCGGGGGGGACACAGCAACAGACCCTTGCACCAAATCTTCCAGAGGGGGGTCTGTGGCTGAGGTCACTGTGTGGCTGGATGAAGCATCCATTTGGCTGTCAGTGTTGTCCTCCAGATCTTCCGCCAGCTGCAAAGGGAAGCAAGTCGGCATTAGATTCAACCCAGGTGAGCTTTGGAGATGGGCTCCATTCAGTGGGGAAAATTCAACTTTTTAAAAAAACTACTGGTTCTGTGGGCGTGGCTTGGTGGGCGTAGCAGGGGAAGGATACTGCAAATCTCCATTCCCTCTCCAGCCAGAAGTGGTATTTGTCAGTTCTCCGAACTGCTCAAAATTTCTCCTGCTCCAGACCTGTCAGAACCTGCTGAATTTCACCCCTGGCTCCATTTGAAATGCACATTTGGTCACGATTTGACACTCCGCATCTGGACAGCCAATGATATATCAACCAAAATATTTGCTATTTTGAGCCATGGTGGCGCAGTGGTTAGAGTGCAGTACTGCAGGCTACTTTTGCTGGCTGTCAGAGGTTTGGCAGTTTGAGTCTCACGGGCTCAAGGTTGACTCAGCCTTCCATCCTTCTGAGGACTGTAAAATGAGAACCCAGATTGTTGGGGGCAAGAGGCTGACTCTGTAAACTGCTAAGAGAGAGCTGTAAAAGCACGGTGAAGCGGTATACAAGCGCTATTTCTATTCCTATTTGATACGTTCCATGCAGCAAAAGGTTAAACAGGTAGTCCTTGACTTAAAACCATTTGTTTAGTGACTGTTTGAAGTGACAGTGACACCGAAAAAGTCCTTTTACAATGTTCAATGGGACTCGCTTCTAAGTAGACATGCATTGGGCTATAAATAATTCTCAGAGCTAAAATCTCTCTCCTTTGTAAGTCGCAGTAGAGTTGGAAATCACAAAACCATTTTAGCTAGATGTGTTTCCCTAGATCAGCTTCATTTTTAAGGATTCTGAAATATCCTTGGACATTTCCCAAATCTGTGAAAAACAACCACAAAGTGTGTCGGGTTTCTTTAGCTGCTTCAAAAAGGGAGTATTATTAGACCAGCTATCTAAAAATACTCTTGATATAGTCAAAGCTGAACTGAAAATTTCATATGTTTGGGCAGCCGGAGAAAAGGGCTTTTAATAGGAGGCATGAAATCAAACATAATTACTTTCCACGCAAAAAAATATATATTTTAATCAATGGGATTAAATCACGCATTATTGTAGGGTAAGTAGTGCTTATGGGAGACAAAAATCTAGGAATGGACCTTCATAACATTCCAGCTGTCTTCTGAATCTCCTGTCCTCACCGATGTGGTCCCATCGCTGCTACTGGCCAGTGAATTGATGCTGTGACTGGTGTCCCTTTTGTCCAGCAAGGGACTGGTGTCCAGTTTGAGTTCAGTGTTGCAGCGGGATGTCAGCTCTGTCAGGTCAATATCATCTCCAATTTCTTTCTGGCTTCTGTTGTGATTCAGGGCAAGAGAGAGATAAAAGAGAGGGCAATTTGAAAGGAATAATTAGCAAGGCTAATTTATGGAAGGATCAACCTTGAGAAAGGCTGTTCACCATCTCCTGCAGATGGCACAGAGGCAGCTAAGAGGTTATGGCTACAGGTTCCATTCCCTGACCCAGGTGAAAACTGCCCTGTCCACAGGACGGTAGATACTCACCCCAAGCCATTGAGGTCATCAATGGGAGAAACGTAATCATCATCTTCACTGGTCAAGCCAAGTTCAGAACCGTAGCATTGGTGAACAATGTGCCAGAGTTCTCGCGGGGGCAAAGTCTGGTGGCAATGGAAAAACGCGGCATTAAGAGAGGAAACAAAGAAGCAGATACAGAGCACAGTCACGGAAAAGCTTATCACAATAAGTCAACATTGGTTTCCACCGTGGATTGCTGAGCAAGCTGTAATCGGCTGGGTTCATCTATTGCAGAATGGCACAAACTATGGTTTGTGCATTCGTGCAACGTATTAAGTGCAGGGAGTCATGAAGATGACTTTGTAGAAGAACCTTGAAGCTGTTAGGGCAACAGAATGTACAGAAGAAGAAGCATGCATTAAATCCAGGAAGGTAGGTAGGTTGGTTGGTTGGTTGGTTGGTTGGTTGGTTGGTTGGTTGGTTGGTTGGATGGTTGGTTGGTTGGTTGGTTGGTTGGTTGATTGGATTTATATGCCGCCCTTCTTCCAAGGACTCAGGGCAGCATACAATATTAAAAAAAAAAACACATTACAAAGTTTAAAAAAAATAGATAGAATATCCAAAAAACAAACCCAATTAAGATTCACAATAACATTTTTTTTAAAAATCGATTAA